TGGCTAAGGCAGGTGGACGAGCTGATGCGCGGGTGCTCCTGGCCAAGTTGGGTTTGGAACACTGTAACTACAAAAACCTGGGACTCAGACCCTCACCGCAGCGCCAAAGGTTTGGATTTTCAGGTTTAGGTTTTGGGGTCAAGGTTCTTTTAATTTTTATCGCGCTTTTGAGGTTCAGGTGCAGGGCAGAAGCGAAAGTCGCTGGTCATGGCCAGGATCTTCATGGGCGAGGTCAGTGTGCTTCTGCCTCGGTGGGTGGGCCTCTCTGTTGCGTGAGGTTACGTTTCCGAAGCCTAAGCCCTTAGAAACCCAACACCTGACAGTGCTTTTTTTTCGTGATTTTTGAAGGGGGGGGGTGTTCTTCACTTCCAAGGTCTGACAGTTTAGACGGCGTTGCTAAACACGAAGCCCTGCGCCTTAAACCCATGTGTTCGAGGTGGTGGTGAGACCATTGGGTCGACCAGACCTTTTTGATCGAATTGCTAGGTCTCGAGTGTAGGAAAAGTCTCGTGACACTCGCCTGACGCTAGCTGCGAAACAACTACACTAAACCAGCCTGCCCGCCACATCGCGTGCTTCGGGATTTGGGTTACAGAGCGTCAATTGCATCAGCAGTTTTGCTGGACCCCTAAACTCCCAAACCTCCAAAGCCGTGTGACCTCCACTAAAGGAATCAACCCTAGAAGCCTTTCACTATAAACCATGAACCCTAAACCCTTCAACGCTGAACCTTGAACCCCTAAACCCAAGCCTCAGGCCTCAAGGCATCGAAGTGCTCCCCTCAGAAGGTTTAGGTTTTAGGGTGCAGGGTTGAAACAGGTTCTAGCCCCGAGCTTGGCTAGAGTAGGTGTTATTTCTGAAGCACGGTGGCAGCACTATTGGGTTCCAATGTTGGATGCAAAAAGTTTTGCGGGTCCAGAAAGCGCCTGCGGGCTCGGCTCCCGCTTGTGGCCTGCTGGTGGTTAGGGCCATTATCAGGCTTAGGCCGGAGTCCTTGGAGGCTCCCGACATGTCATCTTCATTGGCAGGCACAGTACTTTCGGCTCCTCTGGTTCACGATTCTGCGCTTCTCGCAGAGCGCTCCTTGTTTCTACAGAACATCGGAAGATTATCTCAGTATCAAAAGCAGCCTCAGGGGGCAGGGTGGCCGGCCGGGCGGCCGAGGCGAAATTCTGTTTCATCTCTCAACCCCCCAGCCCTAAACCCCCCTAACTCTTTCGGAGCCCTGCGCTTAACCCTAAACACCAGAACCGAAACCCCTAAACGACCCTGCAGGTTCTGCAAGGTCGTTGTAGCTGTAGTGACCGTGGCTCTGCGACTTGTTGGATGTCTGTTCCTCTTCATAGTCTTGGGGTTTTGTAACAAGTTGGGGGTTTTTAGGGTGGGAGGTTGCTTGATGAAGTGGCTGTCCGAAATAGGTGGGAGAGGCCACGATGCCAACCAAAGTGCAAAGGGGCATGTCGAGATTCGGCACGGTGGCACGCCAAAGGGTCCAGGCAGGGGCTTCGGGGTCTTTATTGGTTTTGGAATCAGAGCTTAGCGTTCAGGAGGTCAAATGACATAGTGACACAGCGTGACAATCATGGTCGGTGGACTGCGCTTTGAGGGCTTAGGGAATCAGGAACAGTTTCTCCTGCAGAAGGAATTCGAAGCTCCCGGACCTTCCCAAAACATCCCAAATCCCAAGCCATGAACCCGCTTTCTGCCCAGGTTCTGATGCAATGCGCAGCATCAGATGGCCCGCAGAAGGAGGTGCCAGAGCCAAACGAAAGTCAGCTGTGAGCACGTCACATGCCAATGCTGCAAGGGGAGCCTAGCGTCCCCACCTCCCCCGTTTACGTGGCCAAGGCTGCTGATGTAATTAGGGCGAAGGTATTGCAATAGAGGATGAATGACGGGTGGGGGGGGGGGGGGGGGGGGCGGGTGCTAAATCCTGAAAATCCTCAGCCCAACTCTGCCAGATCCACATCCAGCTGGTGGACGCCTTCATTGAGGAGCTCAGGCCGGGATCGAGCGCCTGAGGCCAGAAATTATGTACTCAGCGAATGTTCCTACAGCCAAATTATCTTTAAGGTTTAACGTTTAGGGTTTAGGGTAGAACCACACCCCAACCATCTAACCACGAGAGCACCTTCAAACCCTAACCCCAATCTTAAACCCTACACCCTGACCCGGAACCTTGCAATGAGAATGACAGGGCGGCTATCGAGGACTACCCGCCGAAGGACTGATTCCAAGCCTGGATGGAGATGGCTTCATTTGGGTTTGTACCACAAACCGAAAGCCCCGAATTGCTGAATTCGAGAGAGCTGGCAAGCAAGCTACGTATCCTAGAGTAACACATTGGCTCTTGAGCCAAATGTTTGGGGACAGCGGTCTTGGACAAATGACCCCTTTAGCTCCCTGTTCTCCGGAGGAGAAACAGGGGCTCAGGTATCGCTGTCACGCCTAACAATGGTACACAGTGGTACACAACATAGGCTTGCTATGATTCGGGTTCTGTTGACATTGTACCTTCTGACAAGAATCGTGTTAGGCGGAGCCGTTCAAGAGATCTCCCGCAGACACGGTTCTCTGCCTTGAAGAGCCCTAAAACCCCCTAGACCCTAAAAGCACTAGAACCCCTCTCTCCGAGTTGTTGCTCCTGATCCCTGGATCTAGGGGCTTATACAATGATTTCTTACACAGCGGTTTCACTGTAACGTATCCTGTGGGAAACCCTGCCTCACGCATACAAAGCCTAAATCCATAAAACCTGAACTTTGCTGTGAACCCTGAAGCCTAACATCCGAACCCCAACTCCCTAACACCCTGAGAATCTAACACCCCAAGCCAACAGGAGAGTTGTATTGCTTCCTCGCTCACGGCGGCGATGTTGAGCCACGGCCTCTTCAAGGCCGGTGCAAGAAAAAAAACAATTCCTAATTGCAACTGCTTGCGCGCGCCGCCTCGGCAGCCGGGCCGGCCTACGGACAGGAAAGGAGGAAGAGGTTCTGGGAAAGGCCTCAAAAACGGGAGGGGGTCCCAGGGAAGGGTCACAGGGGTCCCAAGAGGACAAAATTTGCATTTTGGAGCGCTTTCTAAAGTCACGGGCGGGGGGGGGGGTGGGGGGCTGGGTCACAAAATTAGGTCTGGGGGGGAAGGAGAAAACGCGTCTCGGCAGGAAGCCGAGGTGAATTTATAAGGCTTGCCTCTGAGGGTTGCAGGTTTACAATTTAGGGTTGAAGGTTTAGGGTTTGGGTTTGCAGGCCCCATATTTGGTCCTATTGCTTTTATCGGTCTTTTTGTGTCTGCAGGGCTTTTAGGCCTTCATGGGTGGAACCCAAGACGATAGACCTCCCTCCTCGGCGGCCAGGACAGGGAGCGCGAAGTTTGCTGCTTGATCGAGGGGATGGCGTGAACCCGGCTCCGTTTGGGAAATGTCTCTGCTTTGGGGTTAGGGGTGTGAAGGTTTAAGGGCTTCAGTCGGTGAGAGAGCGTAGGGCTTAGGGACTTACACTCTTGACGGCTCCGGGGTCCAGGTGTCAACCGCACAGCTATGAACCCTATAAACCCTAAACTTTAAGTGCTATGTAGGTCTGAATCTTTCATGTAAGCACTTAGTCATGAAACCCTGCAGCCTAAGCATTGAACCTCAAGCAGCAGTCGTCATGCCGCGCCATCGGGTCCAGGCAGAACGCCCCGCCGGACTCGCAGAAGCAGAACTTTGCGCTGAACACGCTCAACCAGCTGATGTGTGTGACCCAGGCAGGCTTTAACAGTTTTGGAGCTGAGGGGGCTCTGAGGACCTCATCTTTAGGGTTTCGACAGAGAGTCCTCGGCCCGGCCCCCGCACTGGCGCAAGGCGCCACTGACCCCGAAACCCAGCCATATTAGGCTGAATAGGCCTAATGCTGCGCAATTGGTTTCTGTCTTACCAGAAGGTGTTGGCCAGATGTCCCCCTCTGCTACGAAGACATCTTCCAATTTCCCTTCTCGGCGACATATGCGATCTCGTGCGTTTGTGAAAACAAACTCTCACAACGCAGCGGCTGAGAAACCGCCCCAAACCGAGATCTCTGTTAACGTAGACCATCTCACAAAGCTGCACTCAACACACAAAATGACTTACGAGTTCTTAATCGGGCTTTACGGAATCGTACAGTAATATATACATACATATATAGAACTCTTAGCTGGTGCAGTCGGAGCCTGTTTACGCTTCTTTGATTTTCGGCAGAGGGAAGCATGGCAGCAGTCTTTAAGTGGCAATGCTAACAGACAAGTAGGCTGTCAACAAATGGCAAGCCTTGAGTTGCCTGCTGCATCTTGGTGCACGCAGGCCGTTTCCAGCACGCACATTTGAGGCGGCAGGCTTTGTTCACGATACCTGTTGTGCCCCGAAATGACCCACATCAACCTCGGGACTTGGCCACCCATCAGTGTCCGGCTCGTCTTTACAAACGTGTGCAAGTTGCTTTTCGAGTAAAAGTGGATGGGTGGTTGGGACGCTGCCGTTCGCTTGCACTCCGTTCACCTTTCCTTTACTCGTGTTAGACATGTCTCTCACAACTGTGCCAGGTTCAAAGCCTTGATTGCAGTACACGAGGCACGTTCACTGTCAAGTTCAAGCACCATGTAAGGTCTTTATCTTCACCAATGGTCGCAACTTCACCAGCCGCTGCAGATCGTGAAGGCGCACCTTAAGATCGCTCCTCAGCCAAAGCTCTCACCCATCTTGCTCCCGATCAAATTCTGCAATAAGGACTCGGATTTACATATTTGAATCCTACTCCCCATTAAGGTTTTTAATTCAGGAGTAGGATGTAAGCAATTCAACTGAAGTTCAGTACAGTTAAATTCGTTAAACTTTGTCTTGAAACTAACGATTAATTGAGCTCAGGTAAATCATGTCTTGTAGTTTCTTTCCGTCAGTCTGGATCGCCGCAGTCACGTGGATCCTTTGTGGCGTGGTACGAGCCCGCTGTAGCTGGAAGCCCTTGCGCATGGCTCAGCTGGCGATGGGCGTGGACCTTGGCACCACGTACAGCTGTGTCGGCGTTCTCAAGAACGGCACAGTCCAGATCCTCTGCAACGACCAGGCAGCCAAGCTTCAGGGGTCTTGTTGCTTCCTTTATTAACTGCTGCTTTAGGATGGAATAGGATGTATCTCAGCACGTCCACTATCTGCTCAGGGTTTCCGGACGACCCCTTCAACCGTCACCTTCGTCCGGGACCTTAGCATCACTGGCGATGCCTCCGTCCTTAGCATCACTGGCGATGCCTCCGTGGCGCTGCAGAAGCCGGCCGCGAACACTGCGCCTGGCCCAGCAAATGCGCCCACTCATACCACACACACATACGTACATATATATATATATATGCACATATATATATACATACTTATATATATATATAATATGTCAAAAATGTATATGTATATGTATATTTATATGTATATGTATATGCATATGTATATGTATATATACACACAACACACACAACACAACACACACACAACACACACACACAACACAACACACACACAACACACACACCACACACAACACACACACCACACACAACACACACACACAACACACACACAACACACACAACACACACACACAACACACACAACACACACACACACACCACACACACACAACACACACACACACACAGCACACACAACCCACACAACACACACAACACACACAACACAAAGAACACTCACACACACAACACACGCACACAACACACAACACAACACACAACACAACACACAACACAACACAACACACAACACAACACACACCACACCCCACACACAACACACAAACACACACAACCACACAACACAACACCACACAACACACACACACAACACACAACACACACACAACACACACAACACACACAACAACAACAACAACAACACACACAACACACACAACACACACAACAAACACAACACACACAACACACACACAACACACACAACACACACAACACACACAACACACACAACACACACAACACACACAACACACACAACACACACAACACACCCAACACACCCAACACACCCAACACACCCAACACACACAACACACCCAACACACACAACACACACAACACACACAACACACACAACACACACAACACACACAACA